AGGAAAGCTAAAACAAAGAGGTTTAGAAAATATATATAAGTAGATAAGTCAGGGAAATAAACAAGTTTAAGCCCCTAACTCAATGCTATTAAAGCAATAAAACATTGAAAACCAAATAAATTAGAACTAAATGAGGAGAGACCTAGACAATAAATAAATAAAGAAAGAACAAAATAACTGGAAACTAAAACCAATTAAACACAGGTTTTCCAGAAACTGGACAAAAAACACCAGTAACTCACCAAAAAGCCATCGGAGAGCAATGGGTTGATGGGTTGCACAAGACTAAAAACAAAGGTCAGAGAAAAGGTGGAAAATTGCAGGGAGGCCCAATTGGTTTTTTGAAACTCATTTGAAGCCTTTTCAGTTTTAACCCAAATACTCCTCAAAATCAGTTCTGCAACGTTAAAAATTTAGTACATTTTGGGTCTGGAAAAGCAATTTCCACTGCTAAAGTTTCTACAACAGCTATGACAATGAAACACAACACAAACCTACGTTTTAGGGTTTTTCTTTTTGCAGGTCTCTCTAGACTGGGTCAGGTAAAAGGCCCAATTCACTTTTTTCCTCAAAATCCGACATTTTCTGCCATAACCACTGTTTCTGCCATGGTCGCCAAGCTTGTATCAGCTGCCATGGCCCGCCATCCAAAATCTGCCATTTTTCACCACGTTTGTAGTGGTTTGGGTGAAAACCAGCGCCATGGCGGATGTTTGTGGCGCTGCCATTTGACATGACTGTACGATCCTTTGATTTACAATCTTTTACCCCCTCCTAATCCTAGGTAGGATTCTGATCTTCACAACATTGATTCCAAGCCTACAAAATTTGCTACTGTATGTAGAGACTACCAAACACACAGCTTATATACCCACTCCAAATCTAGAATACAAAAACCAAGATTATGTCCTACTGTTGTAAATAGGTGTAAATATAGGAGATTATTTCTATTCATCACAAATTTATTTCCTTTTCCTATGAACATATTTCATTTATTTTTTTATTCTCCTTGTAATTTATAATTTCCTTATTTAGGCAGATTAGCTTCCTATAAATTATATAGACCCTATACAACAGAATATATCATAAAATAATATTCTAATTCCTTTATACTTATTTTAACTTGGTATCAAAGCTAGGTCAATCCAGGTGACTGGCTTAGATAAGTAGATAAGCCGATGGTTGGCACTCATGATCAATGTGAGTGTCCACATAGAAGAAACAGTGACACTAGATGAGCCCTAGTAGAGAGCTGTAAGCACCCATGTGTGGAGGGTGTGAAGCCCAAAAAGTGTCATTAAGTGGACAGAAACCCAGATGGAAGAGAACAATAGTTGCTCTAGTGTAGGTCTTAGATGCTTGTGGATGAAAGAAACTTCACTGTGGAGGAAGCCGATAGGTTCACACTTGAGGGGGAATGTTGGAGTCAAGTGTGAATTAGTCTCACATGGAATGAAATATGAGCAAATTAGGAGTCTATATGGAGATGGACCCTTGTACCCATTGACTTAAGGTTTTGGGGTTACATTGTGGTGTCGTACACCTTGTGAGGCTCCTTACCTAAAAACTCCCCCTACCCATGTAAGGCTTGAAGAGAGTAAGAGTAGTATTAGGCAAAAAACATTCAATTCTTCTCACCAGACTAGTTCAAGATCCTCAACTTCTCAAATTTGGCTTCAGCACAAACGTTTTGGACATCCTACTTTTAGTGTTCTTAAGTCTTTGTTTCCTCATTTGTTCACCAAAGATCTGTTGACTCTTTTAGTTGTAATATTTGTCAGTTTGCCAAACACCATCGTACGACTTTTCTTCCTAGTAATAATAAAAGTAGTGAACCTTTTGATCTTGTCCATTCTGATGTATGGGGACCTGCTCCTACTCCTAATGTTTCTAGTGCAAGGTAGTTTGTTTCATTTATAGATGATTGTACACGCACTACATGAATATTTCCAATGAAAGATAAGTTTGAGGTCTTCCAATTATTTGTGAAGTTTTATTGGATGATCCAAACCCAGTTTGGGAGATCAATTAAAAGAATACGATCTGATAATGGGAAGGAGTATGTGAATCGGAACCTCTCCAAGTTTCTCACAGGTAATGGTGTTGTTCATGAATTGACTTGTGTAGATACTTCACAACAGAATGAGGTTGCAGAAAGGAAAGATCATCTTCTTGAAGTTGCTAGGGCATTACTCTTTCAAATGTTTGTGCCTAAGTCGTATTGGGGAGAAGCTGTCTTAACTGGCACTTATCTGATAAATAGATTACCTTCTCATATTCTGAATGGTGTTAGTCCTGTTCAACTCATGACTACTTACTTTCCTTCTATTACTAGCCTTCAGTGTCGTGTCTTTGGATGTTCAGCCTTTGTCCATGTTCATAGTCCTCATTAGGGAAAATTAGATCCTCAGGCTGTCAAATGTATCTTCATAGGTTATGCTCCAGCCAAAAAGGGATATAAATGTTATCATCCTCAAAGTCATTGAGTCTGTGTCTCCATGGATGTCACCTTTCATGAAAGTCTTTTTACAGTAGTCCTAAGCTTTAGGGAGAGTATAATCTAGAAGCTGAGTCCATTGAGTTGTCATCTGTCCCTCCTATGCAGAATTGGATGCCTTCACCTAAACTACTGAGGACAATAGTATCCTTGATAGGGATAAGGATCGTGAACCAGCACACAATGATGAAGATAATTTTTATGGTGTCAAATACCAGAGAAGACAAAAACCCGACCCAATCCAAAAGCAACTTCAATAGTCCAAACTGAAGGTAAATACTCAAACCCCTAAACCTTCTGACTTGCCCATAGCCTTGCGAAAAGGAAAAAAATCTTGTGCTAAGTATTCTATATCTCAGTTTGTGTCCACTAAACACCTTTTTGTACAGCACCAGAGCTTTGTTTCAGCTATTGATTCTGTTAGAACCCCTACTTTAGTACAAGAAGCCTTAAAGGATGAGAATTGGATTTGAGCCGTGAATGAAGAAATGAGTGCATTAGAGAAGAATATGACTTAGGAGATTGTTGAAAAACCCAAGGACAAGAAGGTTGTGAGATGGATATAGATTGTGAAGTATTGATCAGATGGCACTCTAGATCAGCACAAAGCAAGACTTGTTGCAAAGGGATACAGTCAGACCTATGGGATTGATTATGACAAGACGTTTGCCCTAGTGGCAAAGATGAATATAGTGAGGATCATTCTCTCCTTATTAGCTCATTTTGGTTGGGAGCTTCATCAATTCGATGTTCAAAATAACTTTTTGCAGTGAGACAGAGAGAAAGAAGTCTATATGGAGATCCCACCAGGATATGACCCCATTGATGGAAGGAATAAGGTGTGCAGGTTAAAAAAGGCCTTATATGGCCTCAACCAGTCTCCTCGTGCTTGGTTTGGGAGACTTGCCTAGACTATAATTTCCTTGAGATACAGGCAGAATCAAGGTGACCATACTCTTTTCATTAAACATTCCAAGGAAGGCAAACTTACGCTTCTTTTGGTAAATGTAGACGATATGGTTATTGCAGGTGATGATGAGCTTGAAAGACAGGCTCTAAGGGAAAAATTAGCTGCTTAGTTTGAAATGAGGGAAAACTAGATATGGAAGTATACACCAATGCTGATTATGTAGGGCCAATAGTTGATAGGAGATCTACAACTGGGTACTGCATGTTTTTGGGGGAAAACTTGGTTGCATGGAGGAGTAAGAAGCAAAATGTTGTTGCAAGGTCAAGTGCAAAGGCGAAGTTCAGACCTATGGCTCAAGGGGTCTGTGAGTTGTTATGGATGAAGATCATAATAGATGACCTCAAAATAAAGTATGAGGTTCCCATGAAACTATTATGTGATAATAAGTTAGCCATTAGTATTGCACACAACCCAGTTCAGTATGATAGGACTAAACAAACATATTGAGATAGACCGACATTTCATCAAAGAAAAGTTGGACAAGGGCTTGGTAATGACTACTTATATTCCTTCTGAACACCAACTACCAGATGCTCTAACTAAAGGCCTATCAACAGAGCAACTTCAGCAACTTACTTGCAAGCTGGGAATGGTTGATATCCACTCACCAACTTAAGGGGGAGTGTTGTATATAGGCGTAAATATAGGAGATTATTTCTATTCATCACAAATTTATTTCCTTTTCCTAAGAACAAATTTGATTTATTTTTTATTCTCCTTGTAATTTATAATTTCCTTATGTAGACAGATTAGCTTCCTATAAATTATATAGACCCTACAGCAGAATATATCATAAAATAATATTCTAATTCCTTTACACTTATTGTCAACTCATACACCGCTGCTTAGTATTGAAACCAAAACAATCCCAACTGGCAAGTAGCCTTGCAATTAAAGTATGATACTATTAGGGACCAGCCCAATAATGAGATCCAAACCATGATGTAGCAGGTTTGCAAGTTTATTTGCAAAGGGGCAGAAGAGACACAAGGAGACGAGACAGTTAGGATGGTTAGAAATGTTAATTAGACAGTTAGAGAAAGGCGGAAACCCTTGGAGGAGGATTGGCTCCTTGAATTTCTTTGAATCAATAACAGAAGTTTTTCTTCCATTTTCCTATTCTACTTTTGTTTTCTCTCTCAAATCTTTTGGGAGTCAACAGATACTCAGCAAAGGAGTGCTAAAGAGTCCCTAGTTCCTCTTCCAGCTTATAGACAATCAGTACAAAGCAAACGAGTCTTTAGAATCAAGTAAACCAAGATGGCAACATCAACAAATACAAGGCTTCACTAGTAGCAAAGGTATTCACCATTCTCTTCAGTAGTCAAACCTATGAGAGTTTGTATAAACCTCACCTTGACACTTTCTCATCAAAGAAGGAAGGTAATATACTGAATTTGACTCAACTATATTAAACTCAAACAAGAAATTAAAATATTTATATTAACCAAATAGCACAAGAACATTCATATAAGAAGCTTCAATAAGCTAATGGAACTCTAGCTTCAATTTTAAATCAGAGCAAAGACATACTTTGATCAGGGTAGTCAAAATACTCCAATAGATGGGTTACATCAGCATTTTTCATGCGAATCCCTCTAATCTGAAAGAATAATGTAAAAAGATTTCAGGCCACAGCAACACCAAATACAAAAGTTTATATTCACACACATGTTCAAAAAAATGGCAGATATTAGTGGAGCAGCTTAGTCCAGTAATAAAAAATATTTTGAGAAAACTAACAACAGCACAAATGAGTAACCAACTGATGCACATAGGCAGATTACCAAATTGCTGAAGAATTCTGCATGGAATTATTTTGCGAACCACAGACAGTTATTTAATCAAAATCAGAATGTAGCAGGAAAAAATTTCAATTTAAAATGAAAATAGATTTTCACTGAAAAGGATCCAGCATTAATCAGATGAAAAAAAAAATTCCTGACTTTTTTATGGTTATTTTATTTACTATTTAGAACCTATTTGGGTATGGTTTTAGAGAAATCCTTATAAAAGGAAAAAAAATTATTATAAATAATAAATAAAACTTCTCTCGTTAGTTAAAAACAACTTATCTCTTCACATTTGAGAAAAATTAAATGAGAGAGCTTCTTAGAATTTCTCAAAAAATAGAGAAGTTTAAGTTCTTTCTAACTTATGGAAAAAGTTCTATTAATTTTTTATACTGATTTTTTTTCCCCTAAAAGGATTTCTCCAGAAGTAAGTTTATCCAAACAGGACATTAGTATCCAACTAAATCAAAACCTAGACCTATTAATGGCGAAGATATACAAGAATCTAATGCTTACAGAAACTAAACTTTTTAATAGTTTACACTAAAACATTGAATTTATTTAATGAGCTATATTAATGCATTAAGTAAAAAGAGTTAGTATAGGACTAATCACAAAGCCAGCTAATAGACACAGTTACATAATTCATAACATTAATTAATTTTTTCCACATGAATAGCATATGAGTGTTCCAGTTATTTTCCTCCAACAAATGTCAAAACAATTGTTCACAGGAGCACCAAATATGGAAGAGGTGTTTGATGAAATGGGTCTCATTGAAAAGTTGGGCGTTTGGGTTTGAGTTAGCAAAAACACACTTGCAGTAATCAATGTTTAAAAACATTATTAATGCAAGTGATTAGTCTCTGAAGTCTGAACAGTCAGAGTCTCATGTTGAAAAGGAAAGGGTAAGTACAGCTTTTTTTGCCATACCCACTATCATTGCCATAGCCAATACAACAAAACCAACTGTCATGAGAAATACACAATTCCGCAGATATAATATGGTGTTTTGTTTGAAAATGGCAGTGCGATGGCTGCTATTTAACAATACTGATAGAAAGATCCACAAATTTCATAAGAACACAATTGCATGTTTACTAAAATGCACATTTGATAGATGTCTCTTGTAAGCATCCAAAACAAAAAATATTTGAGCTTCCTATGCTTTGCACTTCAACCTGTGAATAAAACAAATTTAGTGAAGGTATAATATCTACCTTGCATCGAAACCATGCACCGCGAAAACCATATTGAAAGCACCTTGACTCAGCCAATTCCCCAACTTGAAATGGAAGATCAGGCATCTTTAATAGGCACTTCCACTCTCCTCCACTCTTTTAAAACAAAATTGTGAGAAAAAGGGGCTGAAAAGATTATTACAAAAGGCAACTGTTAAACAATCATGTTTAAGTTCTCCAACTTAAGATAAGTAACTATGTAGACTGAACTAAATAAAGTCGCAAATTTGGGAAGAAATACATTTGGATATAAATAGTTGAGTAATTGTGTTCAAACAACAACCAAGCCTTATTCTACCAGGTGAATTCAATTACATGAATCACATGATGCCATTGAGTTCAGTCAAAACTAAATTCTCAAAAACATTATTAATTAATAAATATTTTTAATAACTTTGTTTAAGGTTCTTCTCGGACTCCCTTTACCCCTTTCTACGACACTAAAAGTCATTCGATATATTCACTAGTGCTTTCAAAGGTCTTCTCTACATGCGATTAATTCATCTAAAGACAATTTTTTGCCACCTTTTTCACGATAGGTGTTATTCTACCATTCTCACATATATGATCATTTCTTATCCTAGCCTTTCTTATGTGGCCACTCGTTCACCTTAACATTCTCATTTTTGTCACTCCCACTTTTTCCTCATGTTGTTCCTTTAAAACACATTATTCACTACCATATATGATAATTGGTCATATTGCAATCTGGAAAAACTTTCATTTCAATTTTATAAGCACTTTACAATCACAAATAACTCCTAATATTTTTCTCTACTTTAACCGCTCAGTTTGTATTTTATGAGTAACTTCTTCATTGATTTCTCCATTATCATGTACAATCAATCACAAGTACCTAAACTTGAAGACTTGTGGTATAAAAGAAGAATAAAGTTGAAACTAAAACTTCAAATATCATGGTATCACCAAATTAGTCCTTGAACAATTTTTATTTAATAAGTCCTTCAATGATGTAAATTGGTACCATTTTCATTCTTATGTTGCCTCAAAATAGTCCTACAGTAAGACAGAAATGATGATATTTTATATTTTTACAGCACTTATTCAATGAAAAAGACTTTTAAATGACTACAGTAATGAAACCCTAAACTTTGCATATAAAATACAAGGGCATTTGTCACACTTAAGCTAGTAATTAAATGGAATTGATGAAAGGTATTACATATGTCAAACTAATAAAAAGTATGTGAACTAACTTGTTAAGTGTCATATGCTTAATTTTAAGGCTTGACTTGCCTTAGCTTATTTTAGGGCCTAATTATAACACTGTCTACAAATAGGTTAACAGAATTAGGAACCCACGGTAGATCATAGTAGTCAATAGTAGCTACAGCAGTTGCTATCACGGAGGTGCAAAGTAGAGTGACTGGGTGCCACTATCTCATCGTTGTCACGTCTCTATGTAGCGGCCATCCACAAATCGAGGCCACTACTTCATCCTTAGTCAAATCCCCACTTTATCCTCCCTTTCTGAATGTTTGGAAACCTTTAAGGGGGGCAATCTTGAGATTTTGCCCCCTTAATACATTTTTGATATCTTCACCTCCCTCATCAAGCTAGCCCTAAGCCTCTATCTCATTCCCATCTCTTAATTCTCCTCATTATGTTCTTCATCTTCGTTCTCTACGACACCCTCTTGCTTCCAGTGTCTTTCTTCATCTCTGGTGAAGCTTCCGGCACAACAGAGTCTTTCTCTGATCATCTTCTTTATCTCTGGATGAAGCTTTCAATGTGACCCAAACGTTTTCCGGTTATCATTTTTATCTTCAATCTTCAACTCCAGCAAAGCTTGTCTAACGTGACCCAAACATTTTCCAATCATCTTTATCTCCTATGAAGCTTTTGATGAACCTAAATATTTTCCAGTGCCTGACCATTCCCTGTTTTATATTTTCCTTCTCTGCTTTGATTTTTCTACTCTATTTTGTTTCAAATTTCGATGCCTAAAATAGAAGCAATGATTGCTCTTGCCAATCAGTCACAAGGAACTACCTCTACTTCAATTTCTTTATGTGCATTAGTGAAGCCAACGGGTAATAATTTGGATATAGGATGACAATGGAACAATTTGGAAGACATCAACAATAAAACGTCTGTCATTCGGATTTTAGTGGAAAAACTACTATTGGTGGTATTACCCAAGCAAAGAAGCATCATATGGGAGCATAGTTGTTAATAATGCAGTATAGTAGCGCTATCGTGTCGTTGGCCGCTACGTTGCGGGGCATTTATCCCGTCATGGTGGTTGTAGTAGGTAGTGGCCATACACAACATTTGATTAAGATAGAGGATAGAAAGGTTATTTACTATACTTTATAAAACCTATATATCTAATCAACTTCATCTTCATCTTTTACGTATGAGGCAAAACAATTTCTAACTTTCTTTCCTCCTCACCGGCTCACCCATTCAATTTCGCCAACCAAATCAACTTTTCTGGCGTCTACTCTTTGGTGTCTCCTTTTCAAGGTCTCTGATCACCAGAAAAATCAGTTTTTCTAGCATCTTCTTCGTTTTTCATTCACTGATCACTTTTGTTTCAAGCTCTTTTTTTTTTCGTTCATTCTTTGCTTTGTTGTTCATGCTTTGCTTTTTTATTTGCATTCTACTTTATTGTGCATGATTTCATGTCCTATTTTGCTGAAAGAGATAAAGCTCTGTTTTTTTAGTCATCTTCTGTTTTTCTGTTCAAACTTTTTGTGCATATAACATATATAATATGCACATTACAAATTTTTAAATAGCAGTCATCCTAATACATGCTATTCTGCTATAGCATTTTAGAAGTCAACCCCTATCCGAGATTAACAACTATGGATGGGAGTAAAGAGAGATGTTAATAGCTGTCCAATGATTTTCAAAAAAATAAAAGAAACACTAATAGCAACTCATGAGAAGAAGAAAGCTAATAAAGAGGTGCAAGGAATTCAAAATATTTGTAATAAAAAAATACTTGCAACCTCAAGTATGTTAGTGGCTCCACTGCCATCGATAAAGAAAAAAGTGTCAAGGATCCCTTGGAAGTCAAGGAGATGAATGGCAAAAAAACAAACTAAGTATAAATGATACTTGTGTCAAAGAGGCAAAAATAAGAACAATTCAATATACAGAGTGATTCCTTCATAGAAATGAAATTGTTTTCAATGTTGTGCACCCAGCAAGCTTCAAATTAATAGTTGAAGCTATTCAAAGTTATAGCTCACACTTAAAGCCTCCTAGCTACTATAAGTGTAAAGTTTTTCTTCTTAAAAAAGAGTTAAATATATAGAGGAAATATTAAAAAGTCATGAAGAAAAAAGAGAAAAGTGTAAATGTTTAATTATATCAAATACATTTGCTACATAATGTATTGATTTAATGTTGAAAGACATTGAAAAAATAGTAAGAGTCAAGAGAACAATTCAAAAGAACAATACAAATTTCAAATAGTAAGAGTCAAGAGAACAATTCAAAATTTAAAAAAATTTAAAAAGACAATACAAAGAAGATAGTATTGACACAACATTTTTTAAGTTGCAAATATATTTGTTATTATATGATTGTGTATTCTGTTGTTTCTTGTTATTAACATTTAACATATAATCTTTTAAGTCTATATACCTGTTATTAACATTTTAAATTTATAAATTTTTTCATAAACTATTATTTTTAAGATATTTTTTATTATATCTTATAAATTAAAAAGATATTTTTGAAATATTTATCACCGTTAATTTTAAATTAATAATAATAAAGTTAATAATTTATTTAAAAAATATAAAAATCCTTTAAATTTTAAGATAGTAAAGGAATCACTAAATAAGGAATACTATACTCTCTAATAGTTCATATCTGGCCTGATTTACATTTTCTCCTAACAAATTTCATCTATACGTTGGTTGAAGAGAAACATGAAAACTTTTGTTTGGAGGTAGAAGAGACGAGGTCGACAATGTTGTTGAAATTTTGGGTAGGGGAAAAGACTCTTAAAGGAGCATGAAATCAGTGTTGACTAAGAATCTTCAACAGTGATTAGAGAAGATGAGGAAAAGATTATTCTATCGTGAAAGTTATGTTGGAAAATGATAAAGGTCGACGAATCATATTGATGGATAACATACAACTGCCAAAACAGTATAGAGAAAGAACAACATACTGTGTTCTAAGGTGAAATTGCATAGAATAGAAGACATGCAGTAAGCACGATGCACAGGAGCAACCAAAATCTTGAGGACGGAGGCAGGAGGACGCAAGCGCACCCGCAACAAAGCACTGGAATCTGAAACCCTAGAAGTGTCTTGTGTAGGAAACTTTTCTGTTCTGAGTTTGCTTTTTCACAACTTTTTTTCTTTTTATACTTTATTAGAAAAAAATTTATAATTTTTTTGTTAAAATATCTTTTATCATGATACAAAATATTTGACTTTGTATAAAAAATCTTTAAAAATCTTAAAATTTATTTTTTAAAATATTAATAATTTTAAAAAGTAATATTTAAAATATAAAAATTAATTTAATTTCAAAAATTTATTTTTAAAAATAATTATAAAATTTATCATAAAAAATATATATCAATTTGTAAGATGTTATTTTAACTTTATAATATTTTTAACTTTAAAATATTTATAGCATGCATGTTTACACTAATCTGTATGTTATGATACATATATTATATTACATCAATCAATATGTCAAAATATATGTGTCTTAATCGTACCAGTCAATATATTATAATATATATATCATAACAACATTAACTAATATGTTACAATGTATATATTATAATCGTATAATTTCTATACTACTTCATATTCATCACTTTCACATTATTGAGGACTTCATAATATAGATAGTTGTTGGTTAGCCGCAGCAACACAGATACACACGTATGCCGACCTGACACATAATAAAGCCTGTGATGTCTTTTCTTTTTATTTTCATTAATTTTGCGCAGTCATGGAAAAGCACCTAACACCCTCATTTTCCTCAGATCTTTACAATTGTCCCCGTCTTTCACACCCTAGTGTATTTCTGTGACTATCTATACTTATTCTCATCATTTCTCATATCATTCTCATTCTTTCCCATATCCTTTTTATAAATCAACGTGACATAATATCTAAGTCTTAATCATATAACTTAATGTATTACAATACATGTATTATGAGTACACCTTTCGATGTGTCACAATACCTATATCATAATAACATCCATCACTCTATCTGACTTATGTATTATAATCACATCTCTCATAATTTCTTCATCATGTCATATCATTTACTTTTATACATAAAACTATTTCTTCATTTGAGAATGGTATAACACTTGTGATCAATAACATAATTTCACTCATTTCACCATACACCAGTCATCACAAACATTCATATTTATAGTATCATATCCATCTAACACAAAATATTTTCAAACAATTTCACATCACTCAGATCAATACAATGTGCCGAAGGTCGGACACCTCTTGTGTCAGGCTTGTGATTTATTATTGAGTAATTTATAATATTTTATACTTGTTAAATGTTAATTTATAATTAGATGGAGTTTGAAATTTATTTTTATACTTGGTATTGAAATATAATTAGATGGAGTTTGAAATTTATTTTTAAAAAAATGTGAACAGTACCGTATGAACAGTGTCAATAAATAGTAAAACCGCCTATGAACAGTACAAAACCGCGTACAAACCGTGTATGAACAGTAAAAACTACGTATGTACAGTAACCGATGATGTCATCAGTGACATCATCCTGACGTCACATACGCGTACAGTGCGTGTACAGTACGCGTGCACAGTATTTTCAGCGTAAATAGTGTCCTGAACAGTGTTTCTGGCGTGAATAGTAAGGCGATGAACAGTAAATTTCAAACTTCACACGAAATTTTCATTTCTTCACTCTTATCTAAGGTTCTCAAAGGTTCTAAGGCCATATACCACAATTTTCTCTCATATTAAACCCTCATAAACTTAGATTTCTCGCTAAATCTGAGATTCTACGTCTATTCTGAAGGATTTGAAGTAAGTTTCTTTAAGTTTGAAGCTAGATTTACCGTTCATTTCTCTTCTCTTTCTCTTTCTCATAGAAGTTCATGGTATTCTTAGGAGAAACTTCATTCTAAAGCCGAATCTTCGATGAATTTTGCATTAAAACAAGTAATATTCGGTAGATCTGGTGTGAATAATCGTTCTGAGGTAAGGGGAGTTTACTTTAACCTATGAACTACGTTTTGAACGGTTTAGTATGCTATTTCAAGATGTTTTGATATGATTTTGTTAGATCTATTGAATAAAAGTTATTTTCTAAGCTGTAACTGCTGTTAATTGATTTAAAATGCTGAGATTTTGGCTGATCTATTTTAAACTTGCCTTAGCTGAGCTGTTAAAATAATTTTAGCGATGTGCATCATGCTGAGATCTATGTTTTGCATCATTATAGAACCGAGTTACATGTTTAGGTGGGTAGACATGTAACGGTAAGTTCATGTTAAGCTGTTGTGCTGTTTGGATCTAGATACCAGAGTGGGTCGCTCTCAGACCAGCTCGGTTCCTTCTAAATTACTTAGGCTATGAAACCAGTTGGAAACCGTTTTCATGTTGTGCATTAGATGGGCTGGAATTGCATGGAGTCATTGCTGTGAGAAATATTTTGCTCTATATATATGATTTTATTTTATGTTTGGTAAACTCACCCTTGTATTTCTTTCTATGTCGTTGTGTGTGTACTGCGATGATCGTACGGTGATATGTGAGCAGAAGTAGCAGGTCTTGCATCTACTTCACAGGCTGAGGGGCCAGTGAAGAAATGTTAGAAGATGAAGTCGAGTAATATTGCATCAAGTCCCTTTTCTTTATATTTTGAGACCTCATGTAGAGGGAGCTACGTAGTATAATTTTGGGTATTTTGAATATTATGAGCCAAATATAATATTATGTTGTTCTATTGGATATTTGTTGTAAGAAACTTTGTTTTATTTTGAATGAGAAGTGAAATTTATACTTATATTCTCTATTATTTATTTATTTTAAATAAGTATGTGATGTAGAAATAATGTTCTCAGTTCCTTATAAAAAAGGGTCGTGGCATCTGGACTCAGTCCAATCGTACAATTTCAATGCACATGGTTGCTCAATATCAATATAGTCATCTATCTTAAAGTTTAACAACATCCAATATTCACAGTATATCTTTAAAAATATCTATGAAGCTTATTTTTTCCTCTATCAAATATTAATTTCATGTTAGTTGAACCTTTCAAGTATTTGATAATTCATTTCACAACTTGCCAATGAGCCTTCCTTGGATTAGCCATATAACGACTTACAACACTCACTTCAAGTGCAATATTTAGTCAACATCATACTTCCAATTGCATTAAAGTAAGGTATTTGAGACATGAACTCCTCCTCTTTTGTTTATGGTGACATTTTTTGCAGACACTTAAAATGAATTTCTTATGATAAAGAGTTGAATTTAGATAATTTCTTATGATAAACACAACTATTATACTTATTCTTCTTGTATACCCACTATTAATCATCAACGAGCAATTTGTCTATTTCTTACCTAGGAGAATGCTTCAACTTGTACAAATACTTCTTCAACAAACACATATATTCTTGTTTTCTTGGTACGACAAACCCCTCTACTTGTTGCATGTAAATCCTTCCCTCAAATCACTGATAAGTGCCAAGTTTTAGTAAATTCTTGCATGAATTTGTGCACTTATTTACTTTAATAAATTGAATTTAGATTTCAATTTCTTTTAATTTAGAAGAATTTGAATTTAAGTAATTTATTTGGTTTAGAGATTGTGATTAAGATTCCTCTTAATTCCCTTTTATTAATTTTCTGTATTTATAGGAGTTTAAGGAAGATGGAAGGGAAAGGTGGTAAGTCCTTGACTCATGTAATAAATTGGGTGTTTTATTGAATAATCAATCTAATTTTGTGTAATTAATTGGATAATTTAATAAAAGGATTTATTTCCTTGAAGTTGCATTGAGTAGTTTATTTACTGACTTTATTCAATTGATTTTGAAGGTTTTAGAAAAATAATTATATGTGGATCTTGTGGAAGGAAGTTGGAATTTTGCAGGAAAATTTGTGGGCACACGCATTCCTGGTTATGGGAACACGATTAAATCAGCACATATAAAAATAGAAATTTTCAAGTGTAGAGGGATTACTTTTTTTACTTTTTGTTTTTTTTTTTTTCGTTATTTACTCTTCTTTTTTTCTTTGCTCTTTCTTTTTGCGGGGGAAGTTAGGGTGATATCCCTCTCTTCTCTTTTATTGTCATGGAATAAACAAATTCCTATATTTTTAATTTTCTTTGAATCTTTAATTCCTTTATTAATGCATTTAATTTCAGTCTTCAATTTCAATTTCTTTTCACTTCACATTTCTGTTATGCGTTGTTAATTTCATTAAGGTTAGGAGATGATGAAATTAAATCCTAATCCATTGTAATGAACTAAATGCTTGAATCTAATCCAAATTTCGAATCCTAACTAATGCATTTGATTTTGCACTTAATGCTTCTTTGTTTCTAAGTATTTGTGGATTGATATAAAGAATCATTCAATTAGGAGATTGTAATTATTCTTAAACTTTGATTGAATCACACATTTATAGATTATCTAGAAATAGGAATTTATAATTGCAATACAATTTTACAACCAATTTGTTGCACATTGTTATTACTCTTTGTGTCAATTAAATTGGTTATTCATCTTTTGATTTACTACGTTTGTGCATAACAATTGATTTCCCCTTAATTTTTTATATCTTGTTTTATGTTTAACTAACATAATTCTTACAAAGTGGTAATTGAATCATTAATCACAATAGAGGATATTTTTGTTACTACACTGTGATTTGGTGCACTTGCTAAATTGTTTATCAAAAGGCTAATGGAAAATTTGATTCTGATCATTTTTTGCTAAAGCGAGAATCTCTTACTTAAGCGAGAATGTGTGAAGCAAACTTGGATCTCTACCAGGTTTTCTCTCAAACAAGAGATTACAGCTTGAGTGATAGTACTTTTCTAGTTTGAGCGAGAATTCATTTACTTCACTTTCGAAGAAAGAGGAATCAGAAAGAAGAGGGAGATTTGAAGAGCAAGAAAGGAACCACGTTCAAAGAAAAGCTAGAGCATACCTTGTGATAAATCCACATTTTACTATATTTTTAGCATAGTTTTTGTTAATAAATAAGTGGTAAAGTACTCAATAAACTTGAAAATACCATAAAAATTGTATTAATATTCTTAATTGTGTAGTTAGCTTGAAATTTTGGATTTTATTCTA